GCATATTTTATTTTTTCGATATTTCATACAGTTTCGCGGAAAATCGCGGTTTAGTAAGACGCCGTTATGTCGAAAACGGTTGGGTGGAATTCCTCGTGGATTTGACCAAAATATGTCAAATAATGTTGGTTGTCGGATTCCGTTATCAGTTTTTCAAAATTAAGGCTCCCTAATTTTTTAAGAGCGATTTAATGGAATTACAAATTTAAAAGAAACAGAAATGAGCTTTGCGGGGCGACGGAGGTTCCGGCCAATCGGAACAGATGGTGCGTCCCAGACAGGACGTCGCGCCTTATTTCTTTATGTAGGTAAGATAGAGGCGCGACATACTGTCTGGGACGCACCATCTGTTCCGATTGGACGGAACGTTCCTCTCCCCGCACAGCTTATTTCTGTTTCTCTTTAATTTGTAATTCCAAGTTGCTGCAAAGTTTCACTTAACTCGCCATAAAAGAAAAACCGAAAATTTCCAAATTAACATGTGATACGCAGAAATGTTCACTGATTACAATAAACTTTACAACAATTTTTTCCATCGAGCGGTTACGAAGATATCGATCTCTAAAGTGAGGGGCCTTGACTTTTTGCACGGATAGTAGTGGTGGAACGGATATCCGGAAACTATCCGGTATCCGGCCTATCCGGCCATTTTTTAAAATCCGGCCGGATTCCGGATAGTTACCAAATTATATTAAAAACCTATTAGTACTCCACCATTCACAGCGATTAGTATCTTTTTTTATGTGTTGGACACTGCAGATAATAATCAAGTTCAACCTCAATAGGACTTTTTTCGTTTAATACAACTTTATTTACTTCAGGTTTGTCATTAGCAATCTCATGGTAACAATCCCAAAACGATATATGAATTAAATCTGTTGTTGCAGTTTCTTCTAGTTTTCTTATCTTCGCTTGTAATTTATCATCACTTTCATTACTAACAGAACTGTCGTCAATCCTCTTGTCGTAACCGACTTGTGCGGTTCTTTCAAACCTTTCTTGAAGGTTTTCAAATGCTTCAACCCTAGGATGCCTACGCTCTGGAAATTGTTGCCCGTAAATTCTAGAAGCAAGAAAAGCATTTCGTTCTTCCGCTCCCAAAGAATATCTATACCAGTTCAATAAGTTCTTCTTGTCTAAAATTCTTTTTAATCAAACAATAGATTTTAGAAACACGTTATGAACAAACTCTATTTAAGACAAAAAATTAAGTTGAGTACGGTCCTGGAATAGTGAAACAGCCTGTATAGCTGAAAATAATTTTCATCGATGGAGCTTTGGTAATACAGGCTATACAGGGCAAGAGAAATAACTGAAAATTATTTTGAAGTTCGTAATTCGACCGCTAGGGGGCGTAACTACCATAGAGAAATATAAAATTCCCGCTGTCTCAGAAAGTTAGACGATGAGCTATAACTTTGATAACATTATTTAGTAGCTTGAATAATACCGCATCGCTTTTGTTTTGCGATATTTCTCATATCTGTCATAATAAGGGTGGGGGAGGTCAATGTTTATATTTTAATATCTCTTGGACCATTCAACCGATTTGAATATTTTTGATTTTGTTTGAAAGAGCATTTTATGCTCTTTCAAAGGATTTTTTCAGTAAGACCGTTTGGTTTACAACTAATCAGCTAGAGGGCGTTATCTACAGCAATTACACTTAGTCACCATAAAATTTGCTAAATATTAGTGAAAACCGTATCTCGATATCTCAATCTATTCTCGAATCATAGAAGAAAATGTTAAAAAGTCGACTGCCATCAATCGGATCCAGTTACCTTATTGACAAAAACAAATCACATAACCATGGTAACTGTAAACATGTCATTTACTAACGCAGAAGCGTATGATAGAGCGTATGATGATTTGTTTTCAATGTTTCGAATATGATTCAACTGCATGGAAAAAATGTGCAATGCAACTACGACAATGAAAAACATTTTTCTCTAGAAGTGTTTCAGGACAGCCGCTTCGTACCATTAACGGGACATCCTGTATATGATGACATAAAAACATTTTTTTTATTTTCAACTGTAAAACCACTATCTTCTGTCCGTGCACTATTGACTCACCCTGTATACAGGATGTCTCAACGAGACCAGTCATTAGACGTTTCTGGGTTCTGGTCAAAATAAAAATTTGAGAATTCAGACTTAAGTATTATCAATTGCGTTCTCTTCGACTGAAATATTTTCACATTTCTTCCGGTTATATCGGAAGTCGCCACCTACTTTATTTTTTTTAATGGAACACCCTGTATATTTTTACATATTTAGATTTTGCTAAAAAAAATGAAGTTATGGTACTTCAAAATTTCGAAAAGTTAACGTGCCATAGTTCTAGACAGCCGTTCTCGGCACCAAAACATACTCCATCATGTTACTTAAGGGGGTATGCCACCTTTGAAATAAAAAGAAATCGATTTCTTTAAAAGTGTTCTTTATACTGTCTAGAATGAGAATGGACAGAAAACATTTGCGGAATGTTTTTCTGTCTAAAAAATTGATTTTTGTAACACACCTCACCGGAAATTCTAAGATTTCTGTAACCACTTTTTGTTTCATTTTTTATCCATTGTATATGCAGGTATTTTGACCTTGTTGTACAAAAAAGTTAAAAAAAACATAAAATATCATTTTTCAAAAACGCTATTGAAGGAAAAATGGAAGTGAACTACGTCGTAGTGATGTTTCAACGATCCGAAGAAAAACATAATTTAAAGAACTGTTTTTACGCAGGAGACGGAGACAGCAAAACCTTCAAAGGTATTATGGACGCTCAGCCCTATGACAGTGTAATAGTAACCAAAAAAGAATGCGTTGATCACGTTCAGAAACGAATGGGCACACGGTTACGAAATCTAAAAAGAAACACCCGCGGATTAGGAGGCAAAGGAAAATTAATTGATGAACTTTCCTTATATTATGGATTGGCTGTTCGCAGAAATCGCAATTCCGTGAAGGACATGAAAAAAGAGATCTGGGCTACATTGTATCATAAAATTTCAACAGATGAAACTCCAAAGCATGACAATTGTCCACTTGGTGCTGACTCGTGGTGTTCCTGGAAAAAAGCGTACGCTTTGTCAGAAATCGATGAGTACACTCACAAGCCAGCAATGATGTTTTCAACGCAGTGAAACCTGCGTACGAAGAACTATCAAGAGAAGATCTTTTGATAAGATGTTTAGGGAGATGGTCTATCGCACCAAAAACTATTCATAGTGGCAAGAAAGTGATTGACATTGCGTCTGATATAGCTGCTTGCAATTTTAATGACTTCTTACAAGCATTATGGAAATAATGCAAGCACTGAAATTAACAACCGGAAGATCGTACTTCGACTTTTGTTATGAAACGGATTTAAATCGCATTGCTCGCGCTGAGCGCTCCATGACTGCTGAGGCTAAAAAAGCTCGTAGAAGCTTACTGTCAGACAGAAAAGCTGTAGAAGATGAAAATAAGCTTCAGGAATGGACAGCTGTATGGTGCAGGAATCGCTGATTAGATGTATCTAGAAAAAATATACAATTTTTTACATTCGAAAACTTAAAACGCCTTTTTCTGGAAACTACATTTTTCAAATCTGTGCACACGATAACTTCCACATTTTTCAACGGATTTTCAAGATTTTTTTTTCAAAAGTTTGTATTATCTTATTCTAGGTAAGTACGAAGCCGTTTTTCGATATGTTATATTTTTATGTACGTTTTTATCGATAAATACGACATTTCTTATAAAATCATCACCATTTCGTCAAAAATGAATATTTTTTAAAAATCCTACGTAGTTCTCTAGTTTTTAATTTTACTAAATTAATCGTATCGTATCGAAATCCTGCGCACAGTATGACCCTGCACGATTTGCAAGCCTAACATTACCGACATCTAGCGAGTGCAATTTTAATAACTGTTAATAAATAAAATATGTATTCAAAACTAGAAAAGTGGCTTATTCACACCCTGCAACCAGTTTTTAGAAAACTTCTTTCGTCTGATGACAAAAAATTTTTAAAAATACCTATTATTTTCGGGTCTTCAAGGTGGTTCCCCCTTAAGCGTGTTCTGAATCCTAAATTGATTTCTCAAAAATCGAGTGTTCTCTGATTTTTTGAACAAATGTCTGCTGGAGCAGATTTTTGTAAAAAAATTCGAATAACTGGAGAACGGCCGAATCAAATTGCAAAAAGTAAAGTTCAAATGTAAATATATAAAAGTATACAGGATGTTCCATTTAAAAAAATAAAGTAGATGGCGACTTCTGGTATAACCGGAAGTGTTAGAAATGCGAAAATACTTAAATCTGAATTCTCAAATTTTTATTTTGCCAAACGTCTAATGACCGGTCTCGCTGAGACACCCTGTATAATTCGAACTGGTTGCTCAAAACCTCCAAACATTTATAAATTCTTATTTTCGCCTTAATGTTATATTTTTTTATTTTATCAATTTGGTTGGTTAATTATTTCATGGAAATAATTGAATTGAACTGAAATTTTAAATTAACGGATGTATGCAACCAATTTTGCAAGCGCATACAAAACAAATTTTTATAGAAACTTAATTTAATATTCAATTAAATGATAATAAATTAAAAATCAGTTATTATAAATGAAACAAAAGTTTAATTGAAAAAAAGTAAAGTTGAAAGTTGTATTAAGATTTGAAATAGTTATATTTTTAAAACCGGCGATTAAGTAATCGATTAAAAGTGAATTTATCTTAAAATAATTGGTAGAAAAGATATGAATAACGAAATGTTTAATGTAAGAAAAGTAAAGTTGGTAAAGTTTAATTGCGGGGAGTGTAAATGGTCGAAATCGAACGGACGCGAGCGTAAGTACGTCGAGTCGACGTCGAGCGTGACGTAGCGCGACGTCACAACATTCTTCCGGCAACGAGAGCGAATCAGAACGGTCGGTTCGGTCACGTGACGGCGTTCGTCCAATAGGGGGCGCCGGTCGAGTTTAATAGACAGAACACTTCTGACAAGCGTAGAAAAAGTTGCATCAAACAGCCGCCATATTGTCTCGTCGGGAACGCGTTGAATTTTCGGGATAAATAGTTATTTGCATCGCGGGCCGTATTGAATGAAAGTTTCGGGGTTTGCGTCGGATCGTTGGTGAGGAGGCCGCGTCCGGTCGAAAGATCGGGCCGATGTTTATTAGAAAAGTGATAAAACGGTGATATCATTGTCGAAGCGAAGGAGATATGGTGGTGAGCGGCGGACGGCGGTAGAAGCGGAGTGTAAAAAGCGGACTCGGCTCGGAAAACGGGACCAAGACCAGTATCAACTATGATGGCCGATGGTTGAGTGTTGGGTTTTCGCGGTCGGTTTTCGTTATTATTTCGTTATTTTGACCCGATAAAAAATAAAGGGAAAATAATGTGCCTTGTGAGATGCATCGGCCACACCAGGACGCTGCTACGTACGTGGACTCTTCGAAACGGATTATTTTATTGTATTTTCGAACGCAAACGATGATTCGCGCGCCGTGTTCGCGCTGAGAGACCGCAACACCGAGATTTTAACGCTTTTAGTGTTCACGTTATAGGGATTTATAGGTGCCTCGGCTTCTTCTCCTACTTTTTTACCTTAACGCCTTGGTAAACACAGCCAGATTTCACCCAGACTTTGATATTTTTTTTTGATATGGCCGATCACCTAGTAGATGGGCCGTCAAATGCCAAAAGGCCGAAACTGTCCCCTTTTCAGGGGACCTCCGATTCCTCCGGTGAGCTTACAAACATTCTTTTTTACTTGTTATTTTACTTTTTTAACCTTAAACAATGTCTATCAACAAATCACTACGTTTTCTAACCTTAAAACCAACTTTTTTTACGACCACCTTTTTCTCATGCCTCTCTGTATGTATACATACCTATTATGTACGGCATGTTTTGACATGTTGCTAAACATTATCACAGCCAAACACAAATATAGAACAGCTGTTTTACATTCAAGTTAAACTTCCAATCAGTGGTAAGATTCTTAAACCCACTTACTTTTGGGATTTTTACAGTTTATTTCATTTTCATATTTTCAGCCCTGATTCTAATTTCATTCTTTTTTTACAATTATTATTATTATAATCAATAGTTTTTAGACAACTTTATGAAATTCATTCCCAGAAGATTCAAGAATTTCATCCAGATTTAAATCCAGGACGATAAAAGATACACCTTTACTAACTAAACGATAAATGTAATTTCATTTAATAAAATAATTCTCATTAATCTTTTTACCGCCATCTATCGATTTTAATTGCAACAAATTCATCTATGAAATTAGGCACAAATCATTCTATTAAATTTATTAATTTTACACTTAATTCATTTTCCAAAAATAGGCAATTTTTATTAATTTACTTATTTTTATATTAATAAAGCCTTTTTTTATAAACATTATTATTTAAAAAAAATAAATTAATCTTATTATAATTCGTACCTAACTTCACTTTGTTTATGGTTATTATCATTGTCATTCTGGATAGTTTTACACCCCTTATAGATGTCCAATTTTAACAGTTTAGTCTTCTAAATCATACTAAATTAAGTATCCTACCAATTTTTTGATGTCCGGATTGTGAAACAATTATTACATCTTCTATTATTTAAGTTACCATGATTGTTGCCATGGTTACAATTATTTTTTAGCTTTCTCAAGAGGTGAACCACAAACTTCCAATATTTACAACTATACATTATTTCTTAAGAAGGTCTTAGCTATTTTAATGTAATTAACCACAAAAATATGAAGAGAATAACTGGAAATGAATGGAATAATAATATCTTCAACAAAGTCCACATTAAAGAGGAATTATTGAATTCAGTAGATGAACTAAACACCAAGAAAAAATGAATGATGTTGGAAACCAAGATGATTATTTATTAAAACTTGCTCAAAATATCATCTTTTGCAAGACAAATTCGTTTAGTGCCTAGGAAGATTACACAAGATAGAATCAATTCTTCTCAGAATATTTCTAATTGAAGTAGTACAAAATGCAACAAAAAAATAAGTAATAAAGCATCTTTTTACAGCAAAATCTACTTCAAACTAACTTTATTTACATTCCAAATCTGCAAGGATATTTGTGTTTAAAAGCTGTTACTTGGAAGTGACTAGAATTTTCTTGGATTTGATGTCTGTGATACCATAATTTATCAGAAACGCAGTTTGAATGTGCAAATGTTGCAGAAGATAGTGTGTTAAAATATAAAAGGAAAAATGTCTAAAATGTTGTTGGAGAACTGAGATGAATGGCAAATAACTATGGTAGAAATAAGTCGAATTGAATTTATAGTCATAAACATAATTTAGAAATATAGAATTTTTTATTTATCTAGGGTTGAAATTTGGTTAAAATGACTAAAATGATATGTTGCTCATTCTTTTGATGGTTCACTTCATTATTCACAAGCTTTCTATAAATTTGTTGCAATTAGCAATAGATTTTGAGTATCAACACTTATTTTGTATCTTATCAAAACTGGTTGTGTTATATGTTGATCTTTTTCCAACTTATTGTTTATTGCTGGAACATTCTATCTGAATGCAACACCAAATCGTCCAGTAACTTAACAGATTAGGAATTTCTCTTCATTATCTTTTGATTGGTTTCATCAGTAGAAATTATTTCAATGATTTTGGGCCTTTGAATTTTGTATCAGTTCATCGATATAATATATTTTCGTACAATTTTTTACTTTCCAGGGATCAGAACAATAAATTTTAGATAGGAACATAGTGCAGTACTCTTTAATACAATGTCTTTTTCAGATTCACAAGAATTGTTACTATCCCCTACATAATTAGCTAACTTGCTTTTTTATTAAACTCTTCAGAAAAATATATTGTATATGTCAGACCATCACACTCACAGATCAAAATTTATTATGGACGATTCATACTGATTTAAACTTACTACATATACAATTAGGTAGTATTATTTAGTATTTCCCTCTCTTAATTTCTCTTTCACAGAATTTTTCAAATGACTACTATACTGATCTAGCACAAGAACAGAACTTTTCTTCAATAAAGCAGCTTTACTTTTCTTCCACATTCTATTAATCCATAATTTCATATACCTGGAGGTATTTCAGAAGGTTTTGACATTGTTTTACGCATGATGTTTAGTATTGTCAGCACAACATGAAAGGACAAACAGTGTAGATCATTTTTTTATGTCCACTTGTTTTTATAGTTACAGTTTTAGCACCTTTCATGGCAACAGTTTTTTTTACTCAGCACATCAAATGTCAAAGGAGTTTTGTCCATATTCGCTATTTGGCTTAGTTCCACACTGATTTTCTTTCGATGTTGAATAAAAAGCGATTGAAAGATATATTTCAAAACATATATATTTAGAAATATAAATTTTTTTATTTATCTACGGTTGAAATTTAAATAGATATGGGAAATCTAAATTAAATCTTTCAATTTCTTCCTCCAAATCAGCCTAAAATGATATGTTGCTCATTCTTTTGGTGGTTCACTTTATTATTCACAAGCCTTCTATAAATTTGTCGCAATTAACAATAGATGTTTAATATCAACACTTATTTGGTATCTTATCAAAACTGGTTGTGTTATATGATGATGTAGCAACAATTTTGTGGTTCTCTCTTTCCAACTTGGCGTTTATTGCTGGAACATTCTATCTGAATGCAACACCAAATCATCTAGTGACTTCGACAGAAGTCACCATCAATCAAAGCATAATTTGTATTAGTCGCCATAAAGGCATCAAGCATTTCTCTTCATTAGCTATTGATTGGTTTCATCGGTAGAAATTATTTCAATGATTTTGTTCAATTTTCTAGTTTCCAGGGATCAAAACTATACATTTTCGATAGGAACATAGTACAGCAGCAGTCTTTAATGCAATGATGTCTTTCTCAGATTCGCAAGAATTGTTACTATCCCCACATAGTTAGCTAACTTGCTTCTTTATTAGACTATTCAGAAAAATATACTGTATACATCAGACCATCTCGCTCAGAGATTAAAACTGATTAAACAGGACAACATAAAAGAACAAACAGTGTAGTGCATTTTTTATGTCCACTTGTTTTTATAGTTAACAGTTTTAGCACTTTTCATGGCAACAGTTTTGTTACTCAGTACATCAAATGTCAAAGGAGTTTTATCCATATTCGCTATTTGGCGTAGTTCCACACTGACTTTCTTTCGATGTTGAATAATAAAGCGATGGAAAGATAATATTTGCTCTTCATACTCTTGTGGTATTTTCCGAGATATTTTGGTTTTGGTTCGCATGCTAAGGCCAACCTGTAGCACCAACGAACTTCACCCTTAAAGTCTGTTCCACTGTACACTACTTACTACACATACAATTATGTGATACATAAATTCAAAGACTTTTCAAATTGACGATTTACGTAATTGAATTCAATGGTTTCTGATGAAATTTGCAAGACGCACGGCTTTACCCGTAAGTTTCTAGGTCTAGTGTTAGTTCTAGTGATTGTGCTAGTGTTAGTGCCTTCGTACTTATAAATACAAAAGTGTTAATAAACACAACAATTGAACACCGAACAAATTCAATGATTATTTAACATAGTTCGTTTTTTAAATCAATCGAAGACAAATGTTGGGCCGCTTGTCAAAAAACCTGTGGCTCTTCCACTCTCTCGAATAATAAACAAATGCCTTGATGAAGATTACCGATTTATACCTCAAGAAATAAGTTGAGTGCGAAAGGATTTTTTTGCAAAATTTCTTTAGATAGACTTGTAGCAGCTACACTCTTTATCATTAAGTATTTGGACACATGTAATAGAATATCCCTTTTCTATTCATATTAAGCCTCAACACTCTAAAGCCCGCTTTCCACAATTTTTTGTATGATGGCCACTGGTATTTTCTTACACCTGGCTTGGACAAGACACTTAAGTTCTTTCACTCATTTTGGACTTTTGTTGCACCCCTTAACTCGTCGATCCAATACATCTCAGAAGTTCTCAATAGGGTTGAGGTCTGGGATCTGGGTAGGCCAGTCCATAAGGGTAAACCCATTGCCACAACATCAATAGATGGTGTCCTGAAAGTAATATGGGGTAACTTTTGTACATGCCAACCTCTTTTTTTTTCATTATGAAATGGCCAATAGAAAGCCATAATTCTAAAGCCAATGTGTTTTCTTGTGACATTATCGGACTATTTGACCAGTTATTTTTTTACCACTGCTTTCTGGCAGATGTTATCCAGCTTGATTATTATAGACAGTTACGTACCTAATGAATACGTAAACATGAGAAAGATTTAGTTATCTCAGATTTTCAATTCACATTTATGTCCATTGTTCTGAAAAGTATAACCTAGCTGTCAGAACACTCGAACAAACGCAAGGCCTCGGCAAAATAACGCCACTTGCCACATCTTCTCAGATTTGGAATCCCGAAAATTTAGACAAACTAAACTCTTAAATGCCCCTAAGTAGCAGTAGAGATTTTCTTATCTCTCAATATAGAATTGTTGAATAAAATGTTTTTTGATCAAATTGTTGTTTTTTATTACATAGCTACAAGTCTTTCTTCTGGTATCACTTGCTGCGTTTTCTTCGTCGAACGATTGTATATTTTGTGGAGTATGTGATCAAATATTAGTATTTTCAATCCTTAAAAAAGTTCTATTCCTGTTTATGGGGTGAACGCCATACTTCCTCTTCGTTTTAAGCAAGGTGCGATTCTATAAATAACTGTTTACACTTAAAGCGAGAAATTTAGCTATTTCATCGGACGATATCATAATAGTAACTATAGAAGATACTACGTTCTGCATCGTGGCGAAGCCCACTATTTCTCCATCGCATCGTATGTAAGGCCTAAAACTTATTGAAGATCAGATCTCAATCAAATCTAGAGCAGTCAGCGAAAAACAACCAGGTAGTCTAAACTTAAACAAATTATGTGTCTTGTAAATATGATGACATATTGAATAAAGTATACACTAATACTTGACTTCAGAACGACTAATGTGCATGAATTATCAGCTGCGATGGATAGCAGTATGAGATATTTCAAGAAGAACACCAGAGAGTTCAAGTATATTACAAAGAAAATGTTGACTGCGTATTTTTAAGATTTTGTTGGTTGATTTCGTTATACCATTCAATAGATTTTTGCCAACACAGCTTTCTGCGATTTGGTGCAACCACATGAGACGAAGGTTCAAAACTAATGCTGTTGCAGATTCAAAAGGAAAAGCTGAAACAAGAAATAAATTAAAATCCGGGCTTTGAGCAGACCAGTCCTTTTTTATGTCACCAACTTCTCCAAGGTACTGTGTTGCGATCCTTGTGTATGGTCATGCATTATCCTGCACCACATACTCTTTTGGGATGTCTACTAAAGTCGGGTTGTTAATGCGTTTCTAGCAATTGGAACGAGATCCCTGAGTATTTCAAGAAAAATTCCTACCCAAAACATTGCTGAGCCACCCACAAAAACAAGTCCATGTAACCGAGTACAAGCAGCATAATTTATTTCAACCATTTAATAATATATACCAATATCTATTGCAGGGCTTCTGCGCCAAGCTTTATACAGAGCGTAGTTTATTACGTGCTTAAGCCGAGGTCGTTTGTGGCCGACGTACTACATCTGATGCAATATCAACCAATATCCATTGTAAAGCTTTTACTCCAAGCTTTGCACAGAAAACTTAGGTTGTTATTTGTTTAAGCCGAGATCGCTTGCGGCCGAGGCTCAACGATCGTTGTAATATCCATAATATTGCTGCAAGAGACCTCGGCTTCAGCAGGCAATATCCTCCGTGCAAAGCTTAGTGTCAAAATGCTGTAATATATGTGGTACAATATTGCATTAAAGTGATATCTTTGTCTTCAGTCAACCTGTAGAAGAAAACATTATGTAGTGCCTCGCCTGCAAGCGACCTTGGCTTAGGGAGGTAGTAATCTAGACTCTTCATGAAAAGATTGATGCAGAAATGCTGCAATAGATCTTGGTTTAGCTGAACACGGAGGAAGTATGAGTTTGCTTAATGAAGACTAGGTTGCTTGTGCCCGAAACGCTGCAATATATATTTTCCAATATCGCATCAACATGGTATCCAATGTCAACTGTAATGCCTCGCCCGCAAGCTGCTTCGGTTTAAGTAGGCAACAACCTACTTAGTACCTACTAGGATATTGGTAGATATTGCATCAAATGTAGTGAATCGGGCTCAAGTGTTAATCAAGCAAACTCATACTTTCTTTGTCTTCACTAAAGTTATAAAAGCGATCTTCTCTGCCTGTTGTAATCGTAAAGAATCAGTCAATATTGGACAAATCTAAAAATTAAATAAACTGTAAAATTATTCCCATAATGGTCTCGCTATGTAATGGAATGTTAATTTTGTATTTATAAAAATAAACCAAATCAGAGAAATTATTTAAAAGAACGAATAAAATCAATTATGTTATTCTCGAAATTCATTAAAAAAAAATAAGAAAATGTTGTGACTCATGTTTTTACCAAAAAACTTGTATTTTAAGCGAACTCAACCCAACCCATCATTAGCAGAACATTATTTTAACCAAACACGAACATAAAACAGCTGTTTTAGTGGAATGCATTACTCCAATACAACTTTTAAGTTGATTTCTTCAAATTAAGAAAGCACGAAACGCACCACTATGTAAATATAAACTTTAAATTGAAATCTTTTTATAAAATAAAACTGAATCCCATGCGTTGTAGTAAAAGAACTTATTCAACTTTATTATTTTTGGTTACAATTTCTTATTGGCATGATGTTTTATTTTGGTTGTGGTTACGCTTGTATTTGCATGCGTTAATCGTGTCTACCCCCTTTTTGATTGTCTTTTTCATATTATCCGTTTCTATTGTTTTATTTTTCTTGTTTTAAAATAAATAAATAATCCAACAATTATTCTTAATAAACATGATCTTAAAGTTGCCTTTACAGGCTGATGATTTTGATTAATAATTGGATAAGAGGAATGATTTTTTTTTGTGGAATCTTGCAAACACTTTTTGTTCTCATTGTCTGTCTTTGTAAGCTTTCTGGATAGGAGGCTCAGGTTTAGCTTTGTTGCGGAGAGCACTCTTTCAATCTGAAACCGCATCATTTATAGTTGTCTCAGTAAGCCAGAATGACAAAAATATTTGTTTTTGAGTTCCATGATTTTCCACAAATCTTCTTTTTCAATTAATAATTCGCCCTGTAGATAATTAGTCAATAATCAAAATGCACAATCAATTAATTTAAAGATAAACGTCAAAAAATGCCAAAATAAAACTTGTTCTATTACCGCCAAATACGAATATAATTATAGTATTAAAGCGTTGAGACCATCCCCAGAAATGTATGATAAAACCACTTTAGTAATGTTGGATATTAACCGATATATAGTGACTATGCAACATTTCGCCTACGGCTTGGGGCCTGGACAGGGACAAATACTTGGTGACGGTTCGTCGATCCCGCTCCAACAATGGACTTTACGCCAGCAGCAAAGTAAATACGACTTAATAACTAAAATATAATAGTTTCCGTTTATTTTTTACGTTGAACGTTTGTTTCTTAAGGGGGTGAAAAGGAGATCATCCGAATCTCTTTTAACGGTTTTATATTAAAAGAGTTAAACATTTATAAATCTTGATGACTTCGTTTTATCTTTACAAAAACGAACATTCAGCGTAATCACTATTATAATATAAACTAAACACTAACAATTTTGCAATATAATTAAATGAAAACCGCTAAAAATTCAACCAACTCAAATGTAACAATAAACAAATTCTTTTAGTTTTTTTTGCACGTAGAGAGAGAGCTTTACGATTCCGTAGATTTGCATGGAAACGTTTTTTTCTCCCCCTCAAAAGAAAAACCTCAAAAGAACTTTTTTTTTTCATTTACTAACATATCGTAGACTTAGAAAAATATTTTCGATGTATTACACTGTATGAATTACGTTTTTGTTCCTTTAGATGTTTTGGCAAATGTTGACATGCTCGATTTGGAAAAGAGCCTTCCCGATGAATTAATCGGCGACCATGGATGGGGCCTCCCGGACCATTTAACAGCAAAGACACCGCAAGGACCCGGGCCGGGGGTGCTCCAAAACGGAATCGATACGTCCGACGGTCAGAGTGCAGCCTTAAGACACCAAATTCACCACATAATACAACAGCAGCAGCAACAACAACAGCAGCAGCAACAGCAGGGCAATAAAAATTTGGTCAACAATGCACTTTCGATGGCCGCCGGAAATCAGTTGGGGAGCAAGAGTCCCAATCTTCAATCACCTCCTAATGTTTCCATTGCGAAAGGCAATGGGGGTGTAGTCGATTCACTTTCTATGGGGGGCAGTTTGCCTTCTAGTATACAAAATAATGTAGGATTACAGACTATTGCGAATAATGGGAGTTCGCCACAAGTGATGAGCTCCATACAAGGTAGAAAATGTCGAAATAGTAAATTTTTATTTAAATGTTTTGTATGTTTATTTGGTAACATATTTTTATCTTGATTTAAGGTATGAATAATACTGTAGGAAACATGGTAATGACCAATAGCAACATGAGCAATATTAGTATGGCTGGAGGTGGCCTTGTCGTCAGTAGCACTGTAAATAATAAGACATTAAATGCGACGGGAATGATGTCAGGCCAGCCTCACCACGCGCAAAATCATGCGGTGGCACAGGTAAAAATTATTTTAGAGATAAATTAAATAGAGGTAATTGATTTATTTCGTTTTAGGGTATCCAAAACGGTCCAATGCTATCCCAACGATCGGTAAATATGTCTCATATGACCCCTCGGCCGCAAGGGCCACATGCGGTGCCTCACGGGGCGATAGGCGCGCGCATGCAACCCCCTGGCATGCAAATGCCTTTAAATTCTATTAATCAGAATATGCCTGGAAATACTCCTTACAATACTTATCAAAATCCGGCTGGTGGACCTCCACAAAACGTGCAAGTTGGTAAGTAAAAAAATTTACCTTAAAAAAAAACCCAAAAAACTTTTTTGAAACTGAAAGGCGATCTTTATTGTTTTTTTTGGATGCTGAATCCGGGAAAAATAATGAGAAATTTCCACCACTCTTAGTTTTTTTGCAAATTTAATCTTTTTTTGGATCTTTCACTATTTGAATTACGTCTGCATTACGCGTTTTCCTATTTCATTTGTCATTAAAAAACACCAGAGAATCATTATAGACTTTGTTATGAAAGTGTACTACTTTTATGTCAGTGTGAGACTTGGGGGCCCAATCATGGGCACCTCACATAGTGTGTTCTATTTGTGTAGAAGATGTCAGGAAGTGGTCATCAGGTAAAAAAAATCATTCAAATTTGGTATTCCGATGGTGTATGATTTTAATAGCTATAACTCTAAGAGTGAAAGAGATGTAGTGTACCACAACTTTCCATTTGTAATGCGACCTGTAGCTCATGGACCAGATGTGCTTGTATCTCAGCCTCCAGCAACGCTAGGTGAGATGAGCTCTAGTGAATCTGATGTGAATGAAGATGACTGATTTCCAAGATCCTTCAAATAATGCCATAAATAAAATTAAATATACAGATCATGACTGGATAGTTTGTGGCGATCTGAAAGTTTTGGGCATGATGCTTGGTCTGCAGGGAGGAAGCACTAAGTACCCATGTTTCATTTGTGAATGGGATAGCAGAGCAAGGAATGAACACTGGACTAAAAAAGTATGGCCAACCTAACAAACATTGGGGCCAGATAAAAAGAACGTTTTCCACAAAGCTTTAATCGATCCTAGAAAAATTTGTCTTCCCCCTTTTCACATCAAGTTGAACGTCAGTATGATGGGTGACTACTGCTGGTAACAGTCGTATTACTAACGCTAACTACCTACACTGCTATAATTCAGCTTTTCCTGAAAGCATAACAAAAGAGGCAAAAATGAATTGTGAAAATGGGAAACAGAAACATAAAAAAAAAATGAGAAACCAGTCCACCAGACTAAACGATACATATAATAATTTGTAAAAAAGTATAGAGTAGAAATAGATGTGGCAAAGAAAGAAGTAAATGGTAGATTTATTCAAAGTTCTGAAAATAAGGTCGCAGCCGCTTGGAAGCTTGTAAAGAAAGAATGCGGAAAAGGTGAAAATGAATCGCAAAAGCCCTCTAACTTAGACATAAACGTTTTGAATGATTCATTCGTAAACTGCAGGCAATTAGACTCTAGCAACAATTCGAATAATACAAATTCATTTCTACTATCGAAACAGAAACAAACAAATACATCTCTTAATCAAATTACGGACTTAGAGGAAGAGGAACTGCTACAAATAGTAAAAGACCTGAAAAAAACGAGTATTTTTCCAGAAGAACTAAAATACGGGAAAATTATGCCGAATATAGAAACAAAAAATTATACAGAAACTTGTAATTATTCAGATCCCAATGACTTGAATAATTATCGTCCAATCTCTGAGCTACCTACAATGTCTAAAATTTTCGAAATTGTCATAAAGAATACCTTACTTAATTATCTGACTTTTGATAATTTATGAACGACTTACCAACACGGTTATCAACCAGGTAAATCCACAAACACGACACTGCTTAATGTGTTACAAGTGACCATAAGAGGTTTTGATAAACAAAAATATACCCAAATCGCCTTCTGTGACCTTAGCAAGGCTTTTGATCTTGTAAATTATGACATTCTTACTAAGAAATTGAATAAATACGGAATAAGAGATAAGGCCCTTCACCTGCTAGTTTCATATCTGGATCAGCAACAACAACAAACTCACTGGAAAGGTGAAATATCGAAGTGGAACAGAGTCGAGGAGTTCCGCAAGGTTCGGTTCTTGGACCGATTCCTTTTTTGATCTACATAAATGATCTGCCGGATTTTATAGCATCGGATTCACTTTGTCTTTATGCGGACGATACTTCCTTCATAAACGTGGAAAAGGATATTGAAAAACTTCAGAAAAAAACTAGTACAACAACGGTTGAGGCAGATAAGTGGTTCAAATTACAATTAAATAAACCAAAACCAAATTACTCACGTTTTATACGAAAACCAATGATCACGTTACAAATCAAAAGACCAAATTCCTTGGCGTAGTGTTTACGGAAACCTTGAGTTGGTCAGAGCACATATCTCAGCTTAGAAAGAAACTAGCAACTTTAATATATTGTTTGAAAGTAATGGTAAAAAACTTACCATTGGCTGAATCACGTAATGTGTATTTCGCATACTTCCACAGCATGGCGGTGTATGGCATAGCAATATGAAGTGCTTCCAGTGACCTAAAAGAAGTTTTCAAACTACAAAAGTAAGCGATAAAAACGCAAGTAGGTCTAAAACAAAATCAGAGTTGTAGAGGTTATTTTAAAACTCTAAAAATACCGACATTACCAACCTCATATATACTTACGTGACTAGACTATATACACAAAAACAAGAATTCACTAACCACAATTACAGAGTCTCACCCCTACTGCACCAGACAAGGAGATGATATCAAACTTCCATATCGCAGAACAACAAAATTTCAACATATATCTATAAAGTTATACAATGAATTATCACCCCATTTCAAAACATTGAATATGAAGAGTTTTAAGAGACAGGTAAGAATATGCTCTTAGAAGAGGAATAGACGAATACTTTGCATCAATGAAGATAAACTAATGAATACCTGTTTTCTTTATTATCATTATTGTTACGACTTTTATTTGACGAGAATATTGTACATTTTGATGCATATTCAATAAACTTATTATTATTATTCATACCAGTTAGTTTCAGATTATTGTGTTGAGATGCGGAAAAACGATGGGTGATGGGAAAAAACTGTTGTCATTTTCTGATTCAGCACCTTTCAAAACTGTTAGATCATCCTAAATAATCTAAAAAGTTTTTATGAAATTAATTTTTGCACGCCTGTGTTATTTCATACTAAACATTTTTGTATGTGTAGGGGTGATAGCACCTCAGCAAAGGCCGGGCGGCATGAATATTCCCCCAAGGTTTGTTTCTCCTCCCGGTCAAGTTGGTCCAACGGCGGGTGGTGAAGGTGGAATCGCCCAAACGCAACCACCGGCACCATCGCCCGCCCAACCTCAATCAGGGGCACCCAGTAGTTCCCAGCCGGTCCCTCAAGCTGCCGCTCAAAGTCAAGCGGGTGGTCAGGCAGCACCATCTACAGGTAACAATTTAAAATTTTTAACAAATATTTGTAATTAGAGTATTAACATGTTTAGATCCAGAAAAGCGGAAATTGATTCAACAACAATTGGTGTTATTGTTGCATGCTCATAAATGCCAAAGGCGAGAATCTCAAGCGAACGGCGAAGTGTGGCAGTGCACGCTGCCCCATTGTAAGACAATGAAAGCTGTATTAAATCACATGACGTCATGTCAATTGGGGAAAAATTGTACAATGCCACATTGCAGCTCGTCAAGGCAAATAATAAGTCATTGGAAACATTGTGCAAGAAGTGACTGTCCGGTATGTTTGCCATTAAAACAAGCAGATAAGAACCGCAATAATCCAAACGCCGCAACAACAACGCCGCAAACAACCCAATCACCAAATAACACAACTACTCAGGATATAAAAAAGAGGTGCGACGTGCTAGGATTAAGGCCGGAAACGGCGCCTTTAGGAGGATTACTTCAAACGCCGAATTTACCCCCTAGAATACGATTACCTGGTCCGAATATGCCCATGACTAATGTGACGGTTTTACCGTCTCAGCAAACGCCTACAAATGTTAGCTTACCCATGGGAAGTGGGGACTCTTCCGTGCCTGCGCCGGCAACGCAAATCGCGCCCACCTCGATACAACAACAACAACAAAATATGACCAATAATACATTGTTTGGCGTGGGTGGTACGGACGGTCCAAATATTGGTGATGGTCGAATAGGAGGTTTACAGCCGGGTCAGGTGACTGCGACGCCGGTACAAGATACAAAGGAATGGCATCAATCTGTGACTCCCGATCTACGAAATCATTTAGTACATAAGTTGGTCCAAGCGATATTTCCAACGCCTGATCCACAAGCGATGCTCGACAAGAGAATGCACAATCTTGTCGCGTATGCGCGAAAAGTAGAAGGCGATATGTACGAAATGGCCAATTCTAGATCGGAGTATTATCATCTACTTGCAGAGAAAATTTATAAAATCCAAAAGGAACTGGAAGAAAAACGACAGAAAAGGAAAGAACAACAGCTACAGCAGGTGCAACATCCGGGAAGCATTCCACGGCAACCACTTCCAGGTCAATTAACCGGAATCGGGCCGGCAGGTCCTAGAGCACCTCAACCCCACCAAGTCTTAGGAAGCCTCTCGCCTCAGTTACAAAATATCAACATCACTAATCAACCGGGAGGACCGCGCGTCATCTTTCCAGGACCCCAACAACCTACCCAACAACAAATATCCCAACAACAGCAACAACCAAACCAACCGCAAAACGTAGGACTTCCAGGACCGTCTCCCACCACAGTTAATAACCCTAGTTTATCGCCGTTTGGTCAATCCTTATCTCAACAAACCTCCACAACACCAACCCATACACCTCAATTCACCACTACGAGTAACGGGCCGAACTTACCATCAACTTCACCTGCCGGTAGTCAACAATTTAACGATGTGCTACAGAATAGATTAGCGCAGTCCCCGTCGTACACTCTCCCGAGTAGTTTAACGACGTCAATGAACAACCAAGTGAATAACACTACCACCAGGTTACCAGCTTCCACTCCAACCGATGCAACGAATATGGCGCAATCAATCGCGACAGGAGTTCCAGGAGCCAGACCAAAGTCTGTTAGCTCATCGCGGGGGCCTTCACCTGCACCCGCTACCCCTGTAGTCAATTCACCCCAATCAACAGCCGCTAGTTTAGGTAAATAAATTATCTTAATAAAATATATTATCTTAACTGTTACCTATGTTTAGGTAAAGGTATGACAACTCAAGAAAGAGCAGCATTATCACTTCCTGTGAGATCTTCCACAATATCATCACAATTCTCTGCGATTGTGGCGGCTTCCGGTGCGGACGAGGATTCTCCAACACCGTCGGACGGTGACGTAAAGGGAAAACTCGACCAACAGACCAAACATCACCGATTAAACGAGGAAACGCCGATGGATATTAAACAGGAAGACGAGGAAATGAATGGTCACGTGGATATATGCGGGAAAGGCGGAATCAAAACTGAAATCAAAAAGCGAGAGATTAAAATGGAAGACGAAGAGATTAAAACGGAGGTTAAGATGGAGCCTGCGAGTCCGTCGGAAGTATCGGTTGAGGTGAAACCATCTCCAATGGAGATTATTCCGACGCCTGCAAAACCGAGAAAGTTTATTTTTAAACCGGACGAGTTAAGACAAAAATTAATGCCGACTTTGGAAAAGTTGTATCGACAAGATCCAGAAAGTCATCCATTTAGACAACCTGTAGATCCGCAAACGTTGGGTATCCCGGATTATTTTGATATTGTTAAGAAACCGATGGATTTGTCAACGATTAAAAAGAAATTAGATATTGGACAATACGCGGATCCTTGGGAATACGTCGACGATGTTTGGTTAATGTTTGATAACGCTTGGTTGTATAATAGAAAAACAAGTAGAGTTTATCGGTACTGTACGAAATTATCGGAAGTTTTCGAACAGGAAATCGATCCAGTTATGCAATCGATGGGTTATTGTTGCGGCCGAAAATATACTTTCAATCCGCAAGTTTTGTGCTGTTTTGGAAAACAACTTTGTACCATTCCAAGAGAAGCTAAATATTATAGCTATCAGAACAGGTATGTGTTTTCTTATGTATGTTATTTTTTTTTATTCAGGTGTTTTGGAAATTTTTGAAAATTATTTAGATTCTGAGCAATTTATCGAATTTAATATTCTTAGCGAATTCTTTGTAAAAAATACTATTGAGTAGAAAGCTCCGAAGCTTTATATAAAGTTTCTCAAATTTCAGACACCTGCTTATAATTTCTGTTTAATAGAAAGGTGTTAAAATAAATGAAAAATGTTGATATTATTGTATTAACGTAATTTTAGGTTCAAAACTGTATTATTAGGGTTATTACCTTTTGGTAATTTTGGGACAACAGAAATGCTTATCCTTAGAGGTGTGTTTTTTGGGTCTACAGTTTATTTTTCCATATTCTAATTAAATTATTCCATACCAAAGCTTACAGAGCTTGTAAATTAGTCACAATCCTTCTATAGTGTGAATAACTAGACACTTAAAACGTTTATAGCTATGAGAGACACCATATGTGCCTCACAAATTTTTGTGTTTGTGTTGCGTGGTTGTTCAATTTAGTTTTTATAATTTGATTAATCTTTCATGGTCACTTCCTGTGTTTGATTTAATTTTTTCCATGTTTGCGAAGTATTTCTTTAAACTTCTCTCTAAACGCATTGTTTATAATTTTGTTTTTATCACTTTTGAATATGCAATATTTGCAATTACCACAGTTGCTCCCAGAAGCAATTCTACTGCCAGCTTCCTCTTCCAATTTATATACTTCCTCAAAGGATAGATGAAAATTTTTTGTTGGTGTGATAAGTCTACAAAGGATTTGCAATTATTGTAGTTGAAAAATTCTTTTGGTTTGGGACCCTTTTCGCTTGGTCTAGATGCTTTGTACTTAGAATCATGACTCTTTTTATATCATTACGACTATGCTTAATCTACTCTAATAAATATTCGCGGAATTTTGCTTCTATAGTGGTCTTTAGCAGCATACTTTATCAGCCAGTTCGATCTTTACCATAAATATTTATAAGCTAATCTTTAAACAAAAAGACAATTATAGCTTTAAATATATCATCAATTTATTATCAATTTTATCGCGATTTAGCTTTGTTCACATCCTGATTGTTACATTTCCTTTTTTGTTCCAATAAGATGAGTGGATCTGAAAAGTGGAGTCTTGGTTAAAGTAACACGGATGTAATAATTACTAATTTTCATTTTCTTTCCAGTTTATTTTTCGGCAATAAATGTCTAAAATTAACATGTTCAAGACTTCTTTTTCCAAATTTATGGCGCTTGTTCTTCATATATTATCGGAATTCCATGTGGCTTTCACTGGTATTAGTCTCTTGTAAATACAAACATTTTCTAATCAAGTTTTGACATTAATATCTGAGAATAAGTATTTCAAATAAGGATCCAAATGTGGTATACGCTCCACACCATCTAATGTAAAAATGCCTTCGTTACTATGAGCATATATAATGCCTTCAAGTAATAATAAAAATTACTCCCAGTAATTAGTACATGTAGGGCCGTACATTTGGGTTCCTCAAACACTGTAACCTAACACTTCACCAATTCATTCCTAATTTCATCAATATTCATCTTCTTGATTTGCGTAGAATTCATCGCACATTCTCTAAACTCCCTTCGTCTAGTTTCTTCAACAGCCTTCTTCTATTGCAAAACTCTTTCTTTACTTGCTTCCAATCGTCATAATTATTTGATGCCCACTCAATGATACTTCATCCAGAACGTTCCAATTGGAATTCGTATCTCCCCTCAAAGTCATGACATCTATTCACCTGCACCGATTGCTGGAGTGGAAAGTCGATTCTCTATCTTCTGGATTCAGTATCTCATATTCATTTAGCATTAACTATTCGCTCAACCTAACCCCTCTGTCATCATAAATTCAGGTTGGATGCCTTGATTTGAAATTTTCGCTCAAAGCAATCTTAATTGCCTGTAGGGCAGTACAACTTGACTTGTTCAGTATACCAGTCATTTACTTAACCCTAAGTATATCTTCTCCAAGCAGCGCGATCACGTATTTTCCACTGTCAAACACTACTCTTCTCCCATACATCTTTTCTTGCGAACGATTCCTGCATCATCAGGACACTCACCTTCCATTTTTTGCGATTTATACCACATTTAGTGTGTCACATATCACCATTATGTCCCGTTAACACATATATTTGATATCATGTTCATATTCCTACCTCCTGTTACATTTTACATACATCATCGCTTCTTGGTTCCTTCCACAATTCATGATTTGTGGCCCCTCTTCGCACAGTAACCGCACACCACATCCGATTTTCAGGCCTTCTGGAGATGTCCCAGAGTTTTATAAATTTACGCCCAAATCTTAGCAGTTTTTTCTCAGCCACTTCCAGAACATAATTGATTGTTTGTGAATTTCCACACCCAGCAACCACAACATCTCTCAACTCTGCGGTTACTTAATATAATTATTTGTGCCAATTATAATATGGTTCAAAATTATCAATAATAAATGATTTGAGAAAAATCGCATGAGGATTTGTCGAAATATTACACATTTTAGAACAATATATTTTGGTTTGGTTTCGATTTTTTGTAAAATCAAGAATTTATTAATCCATGATTGTAATGTAATGGAGACTTTAATTTAGATTCTTTGCAAAGACACAAATTTGGAAAACATTTTTAATTAATTTACTCCAATTTATGGTTAAATCAAGTATAACGACATTATATGTTGATTTGAACACCTTTCTATTAAGATTATTTTTATATTTATATTGGGCCTAAAATTTTGTTTAGATTTTAACATTAATTAGTTCAAGTTCAGTGCCGAATTCTTCGGAGCATGCTTTCTGATCGATTTCATAACCAATTTTAGCTTTTAACGTGCTCAAAGTTGTTTTTTTAAAAAAAAGTTATCTCTATTATAATTGTTATGAAGTCGATCTACATCGTTTATTGTTACTCTTATTAACAGTCAATATGAAATTGGTATATTTTGTTCTGTTAGAAAACTTGTAATTATTAATTCTATAATTAATTTTAAACGTTAATTCTTAATTAAATGACCGCATTGGTTAAATTTTGGGTTGATATGAACATTTAGTAAATCAGAGTTATTTTATAATAACCTCAATTAGTTTAATATTTTAGTTATTAATTAATTTTTATTGAATGTTCATATTTTAGTTAAATATTTAGTATAACCGAGAAGAACGACAATTTGAACTTGAAATAACTTTTTTTTATTTATTTAATTGGGCCTGGCACGTAAAATTTGCTTCTAACACGATTTTGGTGTCTTCTTTTTTTTCTAACACACTGTTCACTACTCGCTTCCGCTTCCGCCTCGGTGTCGTGAACGAAAAATAAACCAAAAACAAAACAAAAAAATATCGATGCACTCTCAGTCTAAAAGCGTATGGGCTCGGATCCAACAGATACACCTTCTGCCAGAAGTGTTTCAACGATTTCCAGGGGGACACCGTTACGTTAGGAGACGACCCTACACAAGCTCAAACGTAAGTAAAAACACTACATTTTTAAAGAAAATAAAGTACCTTAATAAATAATAATATTTTGTATATAGGGCAATCAAAAAAGATCAATTCAAAGAAATGAAAAACGACCACCTCGAATTGGAACAGTTCGTTTTGTGTCAAGAGTGTGATCGAAAACTTCATCAAATTTGCGTTCTTCATATGGAACAAATATGGCCGTGTGGTTTTGTTTGTGACGAGTGCCACAAGAAGAAGGGTACGAAGAAACGCGATAACAAATTCAACGCAAGACGTCTCCCCGTAACGAAACTTGGCGTATACATCGAAACGCGGGTTAACAACTTTTTAAAGAAAAAGGAAGCGGGCGCCGGCGAAGTGTCGGTTCGCGTTGTTTCCAGTTCGGAGAAAATGGTTGAAGTAAAACCGGGAATGCGCAGTAAATTCGTCGAAACGGGTGATATGCCTGGGGAGTTTCCGTATAGGGCTAAAGCGTTGTTTGCGTTTGAGGAAATCGACGGCGTCGACGTGTGCTTCTTCGGGATGCACGTGCAGGAATATGGTTCGGAGTGCCCGGCGCCGAACACGCGGCGCGTTTACATCGCCTATTTAGATTCGGTGCACTTTTTTAAGCCCAGACAATTTCGGACGGCTGTTTATCATGAAATTTTGTTGGGTTATATGGATTACGTGAAACAACTCGGTTACACGATGGCGCACATATGGGCGTGTCCGCCCTCCGAAGGCGACGATTATATCTTCCACTGTCATCCAACGGAACAAAAGATACCGAAACCGAAGAGACTCCAAGACTGGTATAAGAAAATGCTCGATAAGGGTATTATCGAACGAATTGTTTTAGATTATAAGGTAAGAGACTTAAATTATTCTAAAATTGATCCTTAAAGTGATTTGCGGCGGACTATGAGTCCGCAATTGCCGCCAATAGAAACGGTCACGCAGAAAAAAATTACGTTAGTTAGAAGTTATTAAACTTTAAATTTATTATCTAAAAACGCACAGCTTAAACGAAGCTAAAGCAACAAACGTAAGCAACCTCGGCGAATTGAGGATAAATTATTTCTTATTTAAGACAGTAATGCCAGGTTTATACAGAATTTAGCTGTAAATTTAAATATTTAGATTTAAGGATTTTATTTAGCTTTAAGAAAATAATTGATTTATACAGAATTTAAGATTTACAGAATCGCAACCTCAAGAAACAAAATATTACTGGTTTTTGTATTGCCATTTTCTACAATATATCTTATCTTTATGTTCAGAAAATTTTTTATCGTAAATATATCAGTAGTTCTCAACAATTTTAATTAATTTTCCATCGAATTCACTCATTTTGTTGGCACAGAAATAAACAACAGTTGAGGTTAGGTTATAACGCGCTATTAACACCGGCCGATCATTGGATACAGCTGATTGAGGTCGTCTTGCTCATGTGTGACGCTGTAAATTTAGAAAAGTTGACCAACTTTATGTTTACAGCTAAATCTTACAGCTTTGTATAAACGATACATGGGGTTTCAATACATTTAACTCTTACAGCTAAATTTTTAAATTTAAATTTGCAGCTAAATCGTCTGTATAAACCCGGCTTAAATGATATCTAACATCGCCGAAGTCGCTTGAAGGCGAGGCGCTGGACTTGACATATCAAGGCGAATTCATCAGTTTTTAAGGTATCTAGCGCCTCACCCAGATTGGAAAATAAAGAAAATGTTCAACACTTTCGTCAGAAATATTTACTCTCATTTCGCCGAGCTTGCTCGCGGGCGAAGCGTTAGAACTGATACATTAGATACGTTAGAAAGATTCTAAATTGGATATTTTAGAACGCCTTGACCACAAGCAACCTTGGCTAAATTTAAGATAGGGGATGTAAGGTGTTTTTAGGCCGAGGTGCTACAATTTGTTTTTGTGCTTTTGTTTTTACCAGTTTTTGGTAGATATGATTTAGTACGCGTTTTGCAGAAATTTCACTATCATTATGGGTATTGTTATTATTTGATAAAAACTTCTCTATCAGTGTTAGTAACTTGTAAACAAAACTTATTTGACAGGTTAACGTTTGACATCGTGTTTGTACTCGTTTCAAAGGACTTTTGATGATTTACTATGACTAATTTTTAATTATGATTATTTTCTTTTTCAAATAATCATCAAGTTGCTAACACTGATAAATAACAATGACAAGAACAGTTATAGAGAAGATTCTGTTAAATGATAACGATGATGACACTGAAATTTTTGCAAAAATTGTACTAAATTGCATATAGAGGAGCGTCTGTTCAAAATGGGCTATTTCCATACTAAAGAAATTTTAGAAAAACTAAAAAAAATTTATAGTTATTAAAAAATGAACGTGCAGGTATATACAGGTGTCCGGAAATGCGTGTACAACGCAAGACCACAAGTACCTTGACCAAAAATATGATTTAACTCATCTTATGTATATACAAAATTACTTAGTTTAGCTGTGTATTTTTTAAATTAAAATAATTTAAAATAGGTGAATAATGCAGATCCTACTTCAACTGCCCTCTCAAAGATTGTGTTTCTAACCATGTAAAGAATAGATAAAGGAATATAGATGTAAAGATGAAAAATTTTTTATTAACTATTCAGGATCTGTGCTACATATGTTTCGACTCACCGCAGAGTCGTCATCAGGCACGACTAAAATAATATATAAAGTAAATAATATAAATAAAAATATTAAATTAATTACCGTCAAATGGGTTCACAAGCGAAGGTTGTAGAATATTGACCTCATTATAAATATTAATGTTTAAACAAAGTTCTTCTCGTGTACAAACAATACAACCAAATGTTATGGCACTTTAAATCAACGGAAAAATCCTCGAATAATCAGATACAATCACAAGTTAATTTGGTACACATTAAAAATTAAAACGAATACGATATAAAACCGGATTAGGCGAGAGTTATAACCTCAAATGTTAAAGTGTATGGCAGGAATATGGTCACGTGAACGAAATAGAGTGGCAGAATTAAATTAAAAATCACTGCATCAGTTTTGGAAATATTCTGTTGTTATTGATGTCAGTTATATCGTTTAATAATAGCTCTGGGAAATTCTTTTTGTTCAGCGTTATACAGTATTCCTCATGTAGGTCCAACAATTTTGATTTTTTAAGATTTTTAATAATATTGTGTAGCACAGATCCTGAATAGTTAATAAAAAATTTTTCATCTTTACATCTATATTCCTTTATCTATACATCAAAGATGAACCTGGAGAATCTAATAGCTATATGTAAAGAATGTAGGATTTTTTGAATTCAATGTTATAACACATAAATTATATAAACTTATATGTCTCCAATAGTATGCATCTTGTATAGGAGTTTTTGGTAACGGTTCCACTTTTTACATATCAAAACACAAAGTTATACTGTCAGACACATCCTGACGAATCATAGCATAAAATGCATTGGCCCTCATAGAGTGAATCCTTTTCTCCACTATTAATTACTGGTATTTTTTCAAAGATTGCAAGTACCACAGATATCTGATGACGGGATTTTAAAACTAATGTTGTATTCTTTGTAAAAAATTTCATAATACATTGTTCGTGAAACTCTAAGATCAGCTATGACTGAATCACAATAATACTGTCTTAGTTTTTTGGAATTTAATTCTGAAGATAAATGTATGCGTTTGCTTTTGTTTCGGTTGTAGTGGTTTTCGCTGGCTGGTCGATTATTCAAAAACTTTTTGGTACTGTCCTTTTTATCCTTTGTTTTATTTGACTTCCTATCACCGCCGCGGTTTTCTTTAGGTATTCCACCTTGTATCAATACTTTATTCAAGTTTTGAAGCCTTTTTCTTGAAACATTGCAAACTTCAATAAAAAGGGACTTACAAACTCTTTCCATCTTCATGCCTTAAAATTTTATTACATAGTAGGTACCACTAATAGCAAGGTGTTTTGTACAGAACCTGGGATTAGATTACTCTTTCCTTTTAGGTTCTGAAGGGCCCAAACGCCTTGTTAAAAAGATGTCTTGCTCGACGTTCGTAATTTTATAATACACACGTTTCCTGTTCTTGATTACATCCTCCATGGTTATTGAACGACACTTGATACAAATTGCTTGTATATTTTCTGACGAATAAAGTGAAATCATATGAGGAAACCAACAGAAAACACAATATTCGTACACAAAAAAATAAGAGTACCAAAAGCACTTACTTTTTTACAATAGGTGGAGCGATCATTTCGTATTTTCTGTCTTACACCACTGTTTATGGCACGTACATCCATATTTCAGTCGGGTTTTATAGAATTTTTGAATGAATTTGTCAAAATCGATAAATTAATCGACGAAATATCCGCGCTGAGAAATTTGGCACCACAGTTAATAGTATTTTGACACTTGCAGTATAATAAAAGCTGTATTTTGTAATCAACTTGAATGCAAAATACTTAACGAATGCTGCATAGAAATCAAGGAAATGGTCTTTTTTGAACAGAACTTGTTTTCTAAACTGACACTAACATGAAATATAGGTCTCTTTGAACAGAAATTAATTAAGTGTTTAATAATCAGTTTCAATCAGGAAAAAATAGCCCTTTTTGAACAGAATCAATAAATTTGTACAAAATTTGAAGAAGATTTGAAGAGAGTTTTTACCAAGACTAAACACAGTCTGTATTAGGGTCCTATATCACTAGTACATTTCACTAAAGAAACGTATGAAACACCCAATACGAAAATTGCCCCTTTTGAACAGACGCTCCCTCATATATCCAAAACTTATAAACAAATTGAGACCTCTTAGGAGATGTACTGCTAAACCCGAATATTTCTAGCTCTAGGTCTAGAGTTCTTGTAATTCAAGGTTTAGTTAAATAAAAATATACTACAATCTAGTGCTGAATAACAACTAAAGCTAGAGTTAACACTAACACTTGAACAAACACTTGACCTAGAACTAGAAACATCCGTTTAACTATCTTAAGAGACGTACGGCAAAACCCGAATATTTCTAGTTCTAGGTTTAGTGTTAATTATCACTAGATTAGAACTAAAAAGTTTCGAGTAAAATATTAATATTTATTAGAATTCTTATTGTTGCTCATCAACAATATCGAATGTTTGTGTTCATTTAAATATTGTTATTAAAAACAGCTAGCCAACAAAACATGGCGCTAGTGCGAAATTAGAAATTCAAATTACGCGGACTGATAGACCGCGCGCGTGAATTGAAAGGTTAATTGGCAACTTAGAATTTAAACAGTTTTCAATGTTTTATTAACTTTTATTTAATTCTCATTAGGATATTTTAAAACAAGCAATGGAAGACAAATTAGGTTCTGCTTCTGATCTGCCCTATTTTGAGGGCGATTTTTGGCCAAATGTGTTGGAAGAAAGCATTAAAGAATTAGATCAAGAAGAGGAAGAAAAACGGAAACAAGAAGCGGCAGAAGCTGCAGCGGTATGCTTTTTTTTAATCATTTCGATTCAAAATAAATAAATCTAATTGTAAATTTGTGTGTTTAGATTTTCTCAATTGAAAATGAGAGTGAAATCGGTCCCGACGGGAAGAAGAAAGGTCAAAAGAAAGCAAAGAAAAGCAATAAGTCCAAAGCAAATCAACGAAAAAATAGTAATAAGAAATCGAATACTCCCCAAACGGGAAATGATCTCTCCGCGAAAATTTACGCTACAATGGATAAGCACAAGGAAGTGTTCTTCGTTATTAGATTACATTCAGTACAATCAGCTGCCAGCCTAGGGGTAAGTAAAATAAATTTATTGATTTGTAAAAGAAATAATAATCTTTGCTGTTAATAGCCTATTCAAGACCCAGATCAATTCATTCCGTGTGATTTAATGGACGGTCGTGACGCGTTCTTAACGTTAGCAAGGGAAAAACATTACGAGTTCTCTTCATTGCGACGCGCGAAATACAGCACGATGGCGATGCTGTACGAGTTACATAATCAGGGACAAGATAAGTTCGTGTACACGTGTAATAGTTGTAAAAAACACGTCGAAACCCGTTACCATTGCACGTTCTGCGAAGACTTTGACCTGTGCGTACAGTGTTACGAAAAAGAAGGACATCCGCACAAAATGGAAAAGCTCGGTTTCGATTTGGACGACGGCTCGTCGCCGAGCGATATCAACAAACAAACCAATCCCAACGATGCCCGTAAACTATCGATACAAAGGTGCATACAATCGCTGGTGCACGCGTGTCAATGCAGAGACGCGAATTGTCGATTGGCTAGCTGTCAAAAGATGAAACGCGTTGTTACCCACACGAAAGTTTGCAAAAGGAAAACGAACGGTGGTTGTCCGATTTGTAAACAATTAATAGCTCTGTGCTGTTTCCATGCCAAACACTGCCAGGAGACGAAGTGTCCGGTGCCGTTCTGTTTGAACATTCGACACAAACTCAAACAACAACAAATCCAACAACGTTTGCAACAAGCGCAGTTGCTTCGAAGGCGAATGGCGGTGATGAACACGCGAGTTCCGACCGCGGCGAACGTAATGGGCGGCGGGGGTAATATGCAAATAGGTGGAAGTGGTAGTAGTGTGCCGCCCGTGTGCGTACCGTGCGCCGTTAGTCCCGTGGGGTCGATGGGCGGAAATAATACGATTGGGGCAAACCCTATGACGGGCGGAATGCAACAACCGCATCAACCCGGAATTGGACTTAAACCAGGAACGCAAACACCGCCTGCGAATGTGTTGCAAGTAGTCAAACAAGTTCAAGAGGAGGCGGCGAGGCAACAAGCTCCCCATGGGGTCGGATTTGGAAAGGTTAATCCAGGAGCAGGAGTTCCGGGACAAAATATGCCTCCACCACAGATGCAAATGCGACTGGGAGGTCATCTACCACCTGGACAAGGTATTTATATTTAATTAAATATTTATTAAGAAATGTAATAACTTCATTCTTGTTTACAATTCATTGTTCTACATGTTGCAACCATACTTTTTTTACGTGGTTGAAATAAGAAACAGTTGTAGCCTGCCTTTTGAGAAAACACTTAGATTGGCTGATGTAGCTTATGGGTATGATGGGACTTGATCTCCCGTATCATATACAGATACAAGAGTACTTATTAACTTAATTAAATTATTTAATTGTCAAGTTGAAAATTTTCAAAGTACGATTTGTAATAAACTGCAAAATATGTAAAAACTTGTTTTTCTTAAGCTGTTGAAATTATGATTTGATAGTTAGTCTTCTTACAATAAATGGAAAGTCTTAAGAAATAATTAAAAATTGTAAATAAAATATCTGTATTATAGAAACTTAATTTAATTTTTTTAGGTGCTGGGAATTTATTACCAATGGATCAATGGCAAAGATATCCAGGACCAGCCCAAGGTTTACGACAGACAGGACCTCAAGTTGGACAAGCACAAGGTCCGTTAACAACAGCGTTAATACCACAGGCAAATCCTGGTGTTGGCGTCAGACAGTCGGCGTCGCCGTTGTTCACTCCGGGTGCGAACAACAAACAAGCGCTGCAACAGCTGATGATGGCGCTCAAGTCGCCTTCAACGCCAGAGCAGCAGCAACAAATACTTCACATTCTTAAAGCAAATCCGCAACTGATGGCCGCGTTTATTAAGCAAAGACAGGTTAGCAAAACATACCTTTTATTACCAATCTCTTATTTGCAATAAATCTAAGTTCCTAAATATATTAGTAGAAAATTCTTAGAGAATCTATTTAAATGATTTTAAATGTTTCTTTTGTTTAGAATGGTGTAGATCAGACTTAGGATTGGAAAAAACTGAATGTGGATGATTATAAGTCTGAATCGATGTTGTTCATATTTATTTGTCCTGCCTTAATCCCAAGACCTATTTCCTTTAAAGATCTTTGTGGTATGTCCCATAAGTATCCTCCTTTTTAATAAAAGCACCATAATAAAAATAATGAATTTATTAAAAGACGTTGGAACTTTCAGTCAACCGGTTTCAACTGGTTTGTTTTAGAAACGACATTATAGTGTTGAAACCAGTTGTACAAAAGATAAATCCATTAAATATTGGAATACCTAAAAAGAAAAATATCATTAAATATAATATATACTAACTTTGTGTGTTAATAAATTTATAGCAGGCACACGTTCAAGCTCAATGTGGATCGTCGGGTGTGGCAGGAAACGCGTCCCAACAGTTGCCGCATATGTTACAACAGCAGCAACAACAGCAAGCGGTTGTAGCGGCCCAACAGCAGCACCCGAACAGTCGGATGCAGCAGGCGCAGAACGTGCTACAGGGCGCGGGCGGTCCCGGCCAAGGAGTTGGAGCTGGACAAGCTGGGATGCAGCAGCATCAGCAGTGGTTCAAGCAGAGTCAGCTGATGATGCGCGTGCAGCAACAACAGCAGCAGCAACAACAACAGCAGCAGCAGCATCAACACCAGCAACAACAACAACAGTTTCAACAACCACCTGCATATCAAAGGTATTAATATAAAATTACCTTTTAAAGAAGTCCTGTATTTTTCCTACTTGTGTACTATTGACAGAAGAGTTCACCAGCATAATCACTACCTGTTGCTACAAATTTTGGAATTCCAAAATATGAGGGAATTCAAGTTTGTTGATTTGTAGACATTTTGGAAATCGCAGTAACTATTGATTAATTAAGCACATGCCATAATAGACTACACATATATTTGAAAGTAATGATCAGCCATTGCTGTGATTTTAAGAGATTTCAAGATCCAAAAATTTTGCCTAGATTTTCTTCAAAGATTTAAGTTATGCGAGGCGTAATTGTGTAAAATTTGATCATTTTGATCAAAATTAATCATCACAATCCATTGCGTCACAATCACTTGCACAAAAACCTGCTTTCAATGTCAACAAGCAAAAGTAAACAAACACAAAATCACCTGTTAGCAAAATTCCGATATCAAAATTAAAATCGATTTGGTCGGTCCTTTCACTCTGTCTCTTGACTGCTCATATGTACTTACCGAAATTGAACGATTCACGCGTTGGCCAGAAACCTTTCCTCTCAACGATATCACTTCTTGTACTATTAAAAACATTTTTTCGGCACTACTTCAGCCGATTTGGCATTCCAAGCACTATCACTCATTTCAAAATTTCACACTCTTCTAGGGACGCGTCAAATTCTCACCGTTCCTTAAAAACAGCCAACACTGCCAGAGGTGGAACAACGTTTCTACCAGCGGTTTTCTTATACATTGTAATTTGCTTGTTATTTTTGCTAGCATTTGCCGTCAGCACTCTAACTGTCACCCAGAATTCTATTTGGGTGTATATTTTTGTTGGTGATCACCGATTTTTCGCCCTGACTATTCTCAAAGGTGAATTTGTGTTTTGGTTTGTGAGGGTAATGTGTTGTTGTTGATTCGTTAATTACATACACATAGCTGCTTTTTTAAACCTAGTCTCGCAGCATTTCCAATTTTAATGTTGTTAAGTACTGCTTAAAAGTGCTTATAAAAATCACTTTTAAATTCTCTTTGGACTTACTAGTCGCTTCCTGAGTATTATATAGTTCTATGATAAAAAATACAAAACTGAGAAAATCTCTGTTTAATATTTTGACCTACAGAAAGTTTGTGAAGAAGTATGTTGTTGTAACAAATAAAGGGATTTCTAGGTCTTTTAACCCTTTGTGTCACGACGATACCTTGAAGTATTGGTAGTTTTAAATACTCATTTTAAACTGTAGTCATCTATTCGGCGCATTTAGAGCTGTCGGTACTTTTTACTATACAAGAAGGAATCTGTATAAAAAATAACGCAATCCGCACTGTAGGTTTTTAGGTGTATTTAAACTTATTCATCTAGATGTGAGGTTAGAAGTTTAGTGAAAAGTGGTGTTGCTGAATTTTGTTGCTTAAAAAGCTATCCGTTTGATTAATGGTTATTAGGTGTGACTTGTAAGCAGCTTCGTGTATTGTTTAAATAAATAAATAATAACAATATTGAGATTGATGTAAAAATAATACAAGTGAATACAGATACGTTTTGGTATTTGAACAAAGTTTTGACTGATGAAGAACTTTTGGTTGAGGCTGAAAAAGTTTATGTTGAATTAGAAAATCTCCCGTGGGATAATTCTTAACAAATAGACATTTTTATGTTGTAATGAAAGAATGTTTTTTTTCAATATCATAATGTGATTTAGATAAAGCAAGTGTTACCTATTTACTAACGTAATAAAAACAGTATTATTTTTATATTAGCAATAAAAGTTGTTGTATACTGCAACATCACTAAAATATATTTTAATGTCTGATGGTACTCTCAAGTACCATTATGCCCCTGCAAATTAATTGTCATATTTTGCTAAAATTGATTCCAAAGGCTTTTCAAAATTTTTGACTTCTTGGGACACAAAAGGTTTTATTGCGTTGGAATAAATTTTCAGGATTTGATGTTATAATTATAACATACATTCATGTAATTTCAAAAATAAATTAATTGAATAACAAGGTGTTATGTGTAGCAGCGAACCATACATAGAGAGAGTTATAGGTCAATATCAACCAGGTTTTAGGCCAAACAGAGAAGTACTGGGAATTAAATACACCGGGAATTTCCTATTACTCGTAATACATGAATGCAATAACCATAGTTACGAAACTACTATGCACTTCCTCTATCCCACAGAAAATGCAACATAGCTTAATAGTACATGCATTGGGTAGTTTTGCAAATGAAAAAGGTGACGTCCTTATGACAACCCTGAGTGTTCGGCCGTCTTGAGAGACGCACAGCTAAACCCGAATGTTTCTAGGTCTAGTGCTAGTTCTACTTTTCGTTCAATAAAAATATACCACAATCTAACGTTGAATAACAATTAAAGCTAGAACTAACACTAGAACTAGATCTAGAAACATTCGGATTTAGGTGCACGTCTTTCAAGACGGCTAAACCCGAATGATTCTAGTTCTAGGTCTTATGTTAGTTTTAATGACAATGCTAGTGCAAAACTAGAACTGACACTAGATCTAAAAACATTCGGATTTAGCCGCACGTCTCTTAAGACGGCTAACCCGAATGATTCTAGTTCTAGGTCTTGTGTTAGTTTTAGTGATATTGCAAAACTAGAACTAACACTAGACCTAGCACTAGAGAGTTTCGGGTTCTAAGAATAAGGAACACAGTGATATCTAATGCTAACTAGCATTAGAACTAACATTTGACCTAGAACTAGAAACATTCAAGTTCAGCTGTATTAAAAAATGGTGGCTAAACGGAATGTTTAGGAAATAAATAAAATACAAAAACGCGAACACTGTAATACGCTGAACACATGTTTAGGGTATTATTGTTTTTGTTATAATTCCGCATTATTACTCGCATTTGAATCGACTAGGGCACTAGGTCACTAAGTCGAACGGCTTCATCCTTTGAAGGCAACGCAGGACATCTTCGTTGTCGGTGTTTGTTATATACCAGGGTGCATTCACTATGCACCTTAGCACTTTGTTCTGGAATCTTTGAATCAGACTTGCATTTGTCTAGCAGGTACAACCCCACAGCTGGATTCCGTATGGCCATTTTGGTTTTAATACTTGCTTGTATATTAGCAACTTGTTACTTAGTGATAGCGTTGATTTTCTGCCAATAAGGCAATATAGGTGTCTAAATTTGATATCAAGTTCCTCATGTTTTTTTTTTGACGTGAGCTTTCCATTTGAGTTTGGCATCCAGCGTCATACCAAAATATTTTGCGGTGTCGGCGTAAGGGACGGCATTGCCATTTATGTGTAAACTGGGACATAGTTTACTTTTTTATAAGTAAAGTTTATGTATGTCGATTTATTTGTATTTAGTTTTATTAGCCGTCGTTTGGTCCAGTTTTCTATTGAATTTAAAGCCAATTGTAACTTATTTGCTGCAACAGCCAAGATCGCTGTGTCATTTGCGAATGTAGTTGTTAAACTTCCTTGAGGAACTCCGGCTCGTATTTCATGTAGTGGTGAATAAGCGTTTTCATATTTTACTCTAAAACGTTGATGGTAGTATTTGGTCTAGTTTGTAATTTAAACCATCTAACCAGACTTTGCCGAAAGCTTGTGCAACATCCAGAAATACGGCGGAGCAGACTTTATTTTCTTCCATTGCTATTTCGATAGTATTCGTAATTCCGAGACCCAAACTGCTGTGTTGGTATTAGGGCTTTTTCTTCTATGACAAGTTTTAGTCTTTTTAATAGTAATTTTTCAAGCAGTTTTGATAGTAAGGGTAACAATGAGATTGGCCAATATGATGTAACATCTGTGGGGGGTTTACCAGGTTTTGGTGTCATTATTATTTCAGCAACTTTCCATATGCTTGGGAAGTATTTCTGTTTAAAAAATTATGTGTAATAGTTTTGTAATCGCCCGTTTTGGTAGATGTTTCAATGTTTCTCCATTAATTAGGTCATAGCCTACTGATTTCTTTATATTTAGTTTTTGTATTTTATAATACAGTTCTTTCATTCTTACACATGGTATATTACTCTGCTGATCACTTTGAATTACGTTAGGGACACTATTTAGCATAGTTGTTGGACTGTCTGATGTAAAAGTTTCTTTCAGATGTTCAGCAAACAAATTAAGTTTTTCTTGATTGTTCTTAGCCCAATTTCCATTATTATTTCGAATTGGAGGTGTATGTGTTTTTGGAACTTTAAGCTTTCTTGGTGCATTTCACAGAATAATCAGTTCTGGCATCGTCAGTAAGGTCTTTTAAGTAATTTTGATTATTATTATCTTTGTGGCTATCTATTAATGCTGTTAATTCGGCTGTTATTTTATTTAATTTAGTTTTACTAGGAATTCTATTGGTTTGCCATTTCTTACTTGCTTTCCGTTTTTCTGTAATTTTGTCTCTAATGAATTTAGGATAAATATTAGATTTAGGTTTGGGTGTTAAAATTGGTGTTGAGGCCCAGGCTGCGTTTTGTATGTCTTTTAAAAACTTTTCTATAATAGGTATTGATTCTATAATAATAAACTTTCTAACTACGATTGATAACCTTTTAGTTTTCTAGCTTTTACTTACCAAAAATAACAAACAGAAGATCAAATAAATGAAACAATTAAAACAAAAAATTAATGACAAAAATTAGATTTGGATAGAAATATAAATTTATAACATAAATTTCTTAGTAACTTAAATTTGGAAATGCAATAAAATACGATAAAATATTTCTGTCGTTGTCTTCATCACTGATGAACGGAAATATGCGGTTTCTTTTGGTTTCGATATGTCCAGTACTAAGAAAATCTTTATCAATTTTTTGAAATGTTTCCTTTTAACGGGCGTTAGGTTTTTTAGGCATCTCTCATTAAGTGTTAGACCCGTCCTGTCCAAAAGTTTATTACATTCGCCATCAATACAAAATAAGTTTCAAATATCGGCGTTGGAATAATCTGCCATGTTCAATGACTTATACCCGTCATCGAATGTAACTAATGATAGAAACTT